GCCACAGTCCCATTTAGTGAGCATAGCTGGCGATACACTGTGGTATCAACTAGGATGAGTCAGTAGTAAAGAAACTACATTGTCAGAACAGCCTGCATATAAGTAGTATAAGACATAGCATTGTTGAATTAACTGGAATGAGCGATCACATAATTATGCTCATCAAAATATAAATGGAATATTGCCACAAGAAAGTGCCATTTGACTTCAAAAGAAGCAATTTCTCTAAAATGAGGCATCTGGTAAAAAGAGAGGTCAGAGGAGAAGTCAAAAGAGCCCAAGTCTTGTCAGGTTGCTTAGGAAGGAATATCAGAATTTCAGCTAGAGCCGCTCAGGAAAACTGCTACCAAGAGATCAATAAAAATATCAAGAAAAAGGTTGGAGAAGGGGGAAAAAATGCTTCAGAATTTGCTAAAACAAATCTGCTTAAATAAAACAAGCACCCACCCATAAATATTCTTATTAAGTAATGTTTTGGGAGAGTTGTTTCTTTTTAATCTTGTAAACTGGCCAGAATTACTTGTGTGAGATGGACAGCCATATAAATCATATAAATAAAAATAAATTAATAGAAAAGGATTGTAGTTTTGTACAAAAGAAACAGAAACAGACAGTAGAGGACAAACAAAGAGATCTTGAAGCACGACTTTGTAATAACATCAAGACTATCCATAAAAGCAACATGATTAGATGCATCAGAAATACTATGACAGATAAACAAGCATTTGGATAATCAGTTAACAAGGACATAACAATACTAAAGGCGGTGAAGAGATTGCTCGGCAACTGAATATTTTGCATCTGATTTCTTTGTAAAACCCATGCTGAAATGTCATTTTCAGGAAGGGAACCTGTAGAGCAGGATTATCAAACTCCCAGCCTGTGGGCCCGATGCGTCACGTGCTGGCTACGCCCACACCCGGTTTAGCGAAGGGGGAAAAGTTCTGATACGTCAGGTGACAGCGCCATGATGACATGAGTTTGACACCCCAGCTGTAGAGCATAGGCAATTTGCAGTGACCTCAGTGGGCTTATTAATAAACTTAAAATAAATAAATTACGACTCCAGATGCTGTCCATCTGAAAAATTCTTAAAAGAAATGTGGGGATAAAAATGGAAGCAGACCAAGCATAACAACTGTCTCCTTGAAGCTGGCGTATACTGTGTCATCAATCCTGTGTCATCAGCTAAAAAGATTGATACAGAAATAAATCTTTCTTGGAAGATACATTCCCAATAACATAACCTCCTTCCAATCCTGCAAGAACTTTGATTCGTAAGTAATTGCCTGGTAGTTGTAATTATTTCAAGGAAACAGATATTAAATTTCAACAACTTGCCACCCCCTATTATGGAGTGTGAAAAAAACCCCATTGTATTATCATAGTAAACAAGGCATTGATAATTGAAGTGTTTATGCCTTTGATGTGCTGATCATGGTATACAGAAAATAATTTTCTGTAGAAGACAAAAAAATGATTCTAACTTCCTTTTGGTCCTATCTGTATTTCTTATCTATAGTTGTAAACTAACTTTGTAATCATTCTAAGACTAAAAGCTGGGGCCCTTCTCTTGGCTGTTTAGGAATAAGATGATCACAGTATTCTAAAAAAACAAAAATTAGTTGATACCAGGGTGTCAAACTTGTGTTGTCATGGTGGTGTCACGTGACTTTCCCCCCCTTCGTTAAACCGGCATGGGCGTGGCCAGCATGTGATGCATCTGGCCCGCAGGCTGCGAGTTTGACAGCCCTGGTTTATACCTTTCCAATCCTTTGACTCAATTCCTTAAGGTGAGATTCCTACCATGGAACTCAGGTAGGGAATTGCTGTCCTTTTGAGAAAAATATATAATATTGTCCTAATATTATAATATTGTCCTAATATTATAATATTGTCCTAATAATATAATATTATTTTTCTCTCAAAGGATATAAAAGTTATCAATTTAAACTGGTTTAAAAAAAAAATCAGAGGAGATAACAGAGAATTGGAAGTATCTCTATAAAATGATAGAGCCTGAAGAGAAATTAGGGCAACTTTTGTGAAGGTAGATCTTGCTTTTAATAACATTTTAGAGCCCCATGAGACTGCCACTAGACAGGAAGACATCAGCGATCCAATGAAAGTGTTTATGTGCACTTTAAAAGATTTATCCCTTAGCAGACAAGGGAACTAGAGGAATTCTCAAGTTATGGACTCAGAACCAGTTCAGAAAGAGAAAGTGTTGGAATAAAGAGCTATTTGTGCAGTAAAAGAATACCCTAGGTATGTCTGCTGCCTTGAGTTTGACACACACACGCACGCATGCACAGAGTATAACAACAACAACATCAGAAAGGTTCCACAAGAATTCGAGAGCAATGTTTTTAAACTTGCTTATAAATTAATTGGATAATTAAGGTAGGGAATCAACTTATTTTTTTAAATGGCTAATGCCTCTAGATGAGATGGGAGGCACACAAATCAAATCAAATCAAATCAAATCAATCAATAGAAGCAAAAATAATGATTTTTTTTCAAGAACTACAAGAAATCAGTGAAGTAAGGATTAAAATGGCAAATATAATCGTGTAAGCAATTATCAAAAGAGACAAGTCGGTTTTTGTCTCCTCTCTTCTCTCTCTGGCATTGGAAGTGACTGCCCAGCAAAGCGATGCTATAAAACTTGATTAAAACATTGACCCATTTTAAAGCTACTGTGAAAAGGACAAATTTTATTTGGGTATCATTACACTATTATTAGGAAAATAATATTTTCAAAATCATGGCAATTTAACCACAATGTGTTCAACTAAAGTTTAGATAATGTCTAACATTATGGTTGTGAGACTTTAAAAAAGATACCGTAGAGATGGAAAGGTGTAGAAAGCAATAACCACAATCTAAACACTTTAACAACTTTCATGAAAGGCAAAGTAACCATTTAAAGAGCTCTTTTAACCTTTTAAAAAGGATGGGAGGAGTGATAGAGATCTCACAATATTAGGATGAACTATTTTTCAAGTAAGCTGATGTTGGGAATTTCAGACCAAATGAAAGAAAACTCTATTGCACTATTCCAATATCAAAAGATTGGGGTCTATTCAATTTAAAGTTAGACCAAGTTGTCTACAGATACTAAAATGGTGGTTTATTACTATACTATTATAGTACGATAATATTTATTTTTATTGTTGTTCAGTCACTAAGTTGTATCTGGCTCTCTGCAACCCCATGGACCATAGAATGCCAGCCCCTCGCCCCCCACCCTCCACTGTCTCCCGGAGTTTGTCCAAATTTATATTCACTGCATTATTGACACTATCTAACCATCTCATCCTTTGCCATTCCCGCCTCCTTTTGCCTTCAGTCATTCTCCAACATCAGGGTCTTTTCCAGCAATTCCTCTCTTCTCATTAGGGGGTCTAAGTACTCAAACTTCAGATTCGGCATCTGTCCTTCCAAAGAAAAATCAGGGTTGATTTCCTTTAGGAATAGCTTTTATTACCAATGCTATTTCTACAACATTAGAAAAATATGCTTCTAAGTATTAATTATTGGAAGCCTAAAGGAAATAGTATGGGCCAGTATTTAAAGAATTGTACTGGAACTGGGAAGACCCACTTCAAGTCCATATTGGCTGAATTCACTGGATGCCCTTGGCCAGGCACTGCCTCAGCTGACTGTATTTTACAGAGTTGTGGGGATACTAAGTATGCTGGCTTAAGCTCCTGGAGAAAAAAGCATGGAATACATTAACACATAAAAAATGAATGTAGTGGGATAATAGTGTTGTGCTCACATCCAACAAGGATTTGGCCGGGTTCTCTGTTTGGCCACTGAGCAATTCTTATGTTAGGCTAGATAAGCCCTTGATTTGATTCAGCAACATTCTTTTTTTAGATCTTATTTGGGGCCTCATATACCATGCAGGCCTTTGAATTTACAACGTCAAATTTATGATTGCAAAATCGTTTACAAGTTGATTCTATTAGCATTTTGTTGTTAGCAGTTTGCACCACGACAGACAAATATATCTGCAGTGTGTTTTGTGGATCCAGGTGGAAAACAGATTGGTTATGCTCCATCTATCAGATCAGCACATTTTAGTTTGGAAGCCCAGTGGTACGAAATGTCACTCAAACCAGCAGCAAAGCAATGAGTGAGAGAGCACTTGTTTATCAGAGAAAACTCACTCTGGATATATTCATAAAAAGTAGGGAGGAAATCTGGACCAAAAAAAAAAGGGAGGGGGGACAACGACTCTGGTTATACTTCTCAGATCCTTGAACCTAACAGAGTAAGAATGAATCATATATTCATCCTTACTCCAGAGAAAGGTTTTCAGAACATTGGAGAGATTCCTTTCTTTGAAATTAGAAACGGCTTTAAACTTGATCACCTTTGACTGGCAAAACATTTTGGTTGGCTGGTTAGTGCCCCAGGTAGGCTCAGGGTACTGCTCCAAGGAAGAGAAGTTTACACAACACAACACAACACAACAAAAACTTCTCTTGCACACCCATCTTATCACAAGAAAAAGATGAGTGTGCACACACAACTGCACACACACACACACACACGCATGCACACAAACACGCATTAGAGATTACCAGTACACATCTCCAACTCTCTGTTTTCGTTCAGTTCTACAAAAGAAAATGAAAACGACCCCATCATGCCTTATTATTATTGTTTTTCTTGACCTGTCTATTTTAAACAGCACTTTTGTGTGAGTTTAATGAAGGCCCACTCTGAAAAAAAATCCTAGTGATATCTGTGGTTTTGGTTCCACCTTCCCCTCCTCAATTGACTCTCCTAGTGCCACATACAAGTTGCATGGATACACAAAGTCCCTTCATTCTGGGTTGGAAGATATTCTTCGCGTTGGCTCTTTTGAGGATGGGTGCAATAGTACACGCATCCTCAGGTACAGACAGCTCCGTTTCCCCGACTCGGTCCGCCTGGTGTTGCCCACACACGGCGCCTCAGACCCCCAGACGCCCTTGGCTTCTCACCTCCTCGCTAGCATCTGTAGTTGCAGCCGCCGCCGCCGCCAATGCCGCTTCTGGACTATTTCCAGCGGATGGCTCTGGTTCTCCCTCAGAAGACATCCTGGGCCATTACCGATCTCGCAGCCCAGCTCCCGGTGTTCAATCGAAGGGAAAGTTCCTCCGTTCCTCTCCAGAGCAGCCGACCCGGGCCCTCTAAGGCGGGGTGGGGGGGCGGGGGTGGCTGGCGAGGAGAGAGCGGAGGGAATCCACCGGACTCAGCAGCTTCCTCTCCAATTGGTCCCGCTTTCCCTGCGCAGACCAAACGGGAGATCCGGTCCAGGTTTTCGAGCGGGGCGCCTTTGCCGCCAGCCCGCCCGGCTCCCGAGTCAGGTGAGTCCTTAGAGCTAAAGGGGCTCCAGGCTGCTGCGCTCACCTCCTTTTCCTTCAAGTCGGGATAGACTGCGGCTGCTCTTTTAACTTTAGAAGGAAAGGCGCTGGAGACGCCTCTGGGAGACGCTGGAGAGACGGGCGAGCCAACTGAAGGTCCCTCTTGCTGGGCACGGTGCCGGCTGTCTCTCTCTCTCTCTCCCCCCCTCTCTCTGTCCAGAAATCCTCTGCAGCCCCCAACTCTGCAGTAGAATTAGTTGGCTGCCAAGTTCGGGTTTCTCTGTATTTTTTTTTTTTATTATTATTATCACTTGGCATTCCCGGCTGCCACTCAGAAAGAAGGGAGGGAAACCAAGATGCCTTCTATCTGAAGGCATTCCCTGGGAAAAGCCCTCTCTAGCTTCCTCTTCATATCTCTGGCTGACACGTGTTTTGTGGACACCTTCCTGATAAGTGATAAGGCAGTGATAAGCTTAGGACTGGCAGGGAAAGAGACCCAGGGGTGAAATCCAAAATTTTCCCCTACCGGTTCTGTGGGCGTGGCTTAGTGGGTGTGGCAGGGGAAAGGATATTGCAAAATCTCCATTCCCACGCCACTGGGAGGGGGAGAAGGATACTGCAAAATCTCCATTCCCTCCCCCCTTGGGGAAGGATATTGCAAAATCTCCATTCCCACCCCACTCTGGAGCCAGCTAGAGGTGGTATTTGCCAGTTCTCTGACCTACTCAAAATTTCCGCTACCGGTTCTCCAGAACCTGTTAGAACCTGCTGGATTTCACCCCTGGAAAGAGATCGTACTTTTCTGGGACTAGGTAGTCACAACAATCTATCGAGGTTAATTTAAGTCCCAGAAACTCTTCAGCTGAACATTTTCTGTTCTATTCTGACATGTGAACCAGATATCCCTGGGTTTGACCTGTTCCTCATCTCCTTTTGGTGATAGCCAAGTGTTGGCTGTTTAGTGGGGGAGGGGGAGATAGTATTGGAAGGAGGGATCCTTGGAAGGCATCTTAGAACTCTTTTGATCCAACCCCCTATCCAAAGCAGGAAGCCTAATAATGGTTGTCTAACCTGATTTATGACCTGAGGACGAGGTGTTAAATACATTAAATACCTAACATTGACATCCTAAATATAATTTAGCAACTGCCTCTAACTGGCCCTCTATGCAAAGCTTATTCTTGATCTTAACCACATTTGAGATTTATTCTTTCTGCTAATTTATATGATTCAGTTACCAATAGAATCATAAAGAATAATCTTCTGTTTCTGTCTGCCGTATTGACGTAAGTGTATTATATATATAACAAATAGCACTGAATTATCAATGGCATTAATGGATTGATTACAAATGACAGTGGGAATTTTGAATCAATCAAAGTAGAAGGATTCCTATAAGATAAAATTTATGGTAAATTGGCAGAAATCGAGTATAAGGCTGAAACTATTTTTTTAAAAATAAATTGGGATGGGGATCATCAGAAAGTACAAGGAAATTGGAGAGCAGCAAGCAAACTTGGAGATTCAGGAAAAACGGATTGGGGAAATAAAAAATTCCCATATGATTTGTGATCTGTATATATCTTTTCCTATTTCTTGTTGGAGGGCTAAAAAGAGTCTTGTCAGTCAAACAAGAATAACCCAGATCAGTTCATTTTGACTATATGTTTTTTTTCTTTTCAAAATAGAGATGGCAGTCTGATAGTTCATGGAGATGCTTGGGCAACATTTGTTTTGATTTCAGCAAAGCACACAAAAAGATATATGGATTTCTTGCTGATAAGATGGTACAATGTAAGCCAGGGAGTTCTAAAATAGACCCACAGCTGGTTGAGTTGCCATACTGAATAAGTACTCATTAATGGAGTCCAAATTGCAAATTAATGGAGGATGCAAATTGCAAATGGCTCCTTCAGAGATAGCATGATACCAGTGCTAAATCTATCCTTAGACATAAAGCCGGTTTATGAGAAAAACTAGATTATGTCTCAGTTTTAACAAAGAAATATCCTGATGGAATCTCAGTCAATCCATACTAAAATACAGTGCACCTCCTGCAACAGCCAAATGCAGGCTGCTTTATATGTTAGCATAGTGGGAGTTTCAGGGTTCTTGCAGTGCCTTACCTGTTCCTAGCACTGTATCTTTTGACTAGAGAGCTCTGATGTCATTCCTGGGATATGTTGGAAACAGTCTCCCAGCTTAGGAGTCACAGCCCTGAGTGCGCTGTGATATCACTATCACAAAGACCACTTTGGCCTTTACTTTCTACATCTTCTGTTGTTTCTCCTTCAGGCCCTGGTATTTCTCCAGCTTTTTATACTTCTTGTTTCTGATGTTGCTCACTTGGCATTGCTACAGCTATCACCACTGTGATCATCTGGTCCTTATCTACTACCACACTGACTGGTTAATTGGCCAGTACTTGCATGGCCATCTGAATCTGGGAGTCCGGCAGGATCTTAGCCTGTTATTCTCCATGACTTTCTGCACTTGGGAGGGTCTAGCCCAAATATTGTGCAAATGTTCCTATGCGGTGCCGGCTATCTGCTTGTGCTCTTCACGGTATGTTATTCCTGCCTGCATCTTACTGTACACCCTGCCTCTATGTGTTAGACAATCTCTGAGGTCTCTCTGCGTAGTCTGCACTTCACATCCTATCTAGTGTGGTGGACTCAAGCTTCTATAGACCTGATGTGCAGTACCAGTACTTGTGCTGCTATGACTAGTGCCTCATTTCTGTCCTTTAGTCCAGCTCTTTCAGCCACTGGTAAGATTTCCCGATGTCTGCCACCTCTGGCAGACATCTGTTGATGGTATATCCCATGCAGGTTCTTCCTCTGCTTGATCTTCCTCCCATTATCCCATGTCTGTTGCTGCCTTGGGGATGCTGGATGCTGTGGATTTCATCCAGGACAATGACTTTAACACTCCCCAAGATCCTCCCATCCTCTTTCCAATTGGTGTACAATCTCTGGGTGTTGGAATTTGGATGGAAACATCTGTACATTGTGAGGAGCTTCTTGGTCTTCACATTGGCAGCCAGCTCACTATAGCAGCAGGTTATCTGATGATGGGCAAAGTGTAGGTGTTAATGGTGTGGATCTTATTTTTCCTATTGACTTGGCTTTTTAGGATCTGATTTATCTTTTGTCGGCACTTGTATGTTGCTGTCTTCCTTGCCTCTTCCTGATGGTTGCCATATGACTGTGGGTTATCAAAATACGTGTAGCTAGTCTATATGTCTGCTATGCGGCCCATCAGTCTTAACTGCCTTTCTTCTCTTGACTACCATCTGGTCACACTTCTCCAGTCTGAATGACATCCCAACGTTCTCAATGTAGATCCATTTCAGGTAGATCAGCAAGTCAATGTCTCATTAACTCTTAGCATACATTTTGATGTCATCCATGTAGAGAAAGTGGCTAATGATAGTTCCATTCTTGAACTTGTATCCATATCTAGTCTTTGTGATTATTGAGGGGGTTCAAGCAGTAGGACAGTGGATCACCTTGATATTTGTTGCATCTGATAGCCAGTTATATGTGGTGTCTTGAGTTGAACTTTTCAGTATTGTCTTCTATAGTCTTAGTGAGTTCTTGAGGAAAGTGTTCTTAGTGTCCTGTTGGCTATATAGCACCAGGCATTCACAGATCCATGTGTGTGGCATTGAGTTGTAGGCTTTCCTGTAGTCAGCCAAGGATGTGCTCAGATTGGTCTGTCTAGATCAGTGGTTCCCAACGTGGGGCCTACGCCCCACAGGGGGGAAATTTGATTTTTAATGGGGGTAATTTGGAACATTGTTTAAACCAAGTTAATGGCCTTTTAGGATTCCTCTGTGTGAGTAGGAGTTCACTTTTTGAATAGTAAGAATTATATCTCATGGGGGCAGGGGGGGGAACATCAGGATTTTAGCGATGCTTAGGTGGGTCATGGCCAAAAAAAGGTTGGGAACACTGGTCTAGATCTTGAGTCTTGGGCAAGTGCTCTATCTATAAACAACTGATATTGCCTCCAGTATTGTTCCCAATGCTCTTCTGAGATTGCTTATGTACTGTTCCATATCACGGGTGTCAAACTGGATTTCTTCAAGGGCTGGATCAGCATTGTAGTTCTCCTCTGTGGGCCTGGGAGGGGGGAAGAGGGGACAGATGCCTCCTGTAGCACCCTACCGGCCAAAATGGGGCACAGGCTGGGCCGTGCACAGCCCCCCGCCGCCCCATTTTGGCTGCCAGAGGCACTGCAAGCCGGTCCTTTGCTATTTCCAGGCTGACCCTATGGACCAGATTTAAGCAATCCACAGGCCGGATGCAGCCCACAGGCCTTGAGTTTGACACCCCTGGTCCATATGGTCCTGTAGTTTAGTAGCTATGATGCCTGATAGGACTTTCCATGTCGTGGGCAGGCAGGTTATTGGCTGGTAGTTATTGTGGGAAAACACACACACACACACACCATCCCTCTTCATTGATGTCCTTCAAGCATTCAAATATTTTTGGTATCACAGCAGTTTAGTGAATGATGAACTGGGGCATCATAAGATGTTTTTAGATTTAGCCCAAAGCCTCGAGGCAGAGGTTCTCTCCTTGAGTGAAATGTCATGGCCAAAGTTGGTACAAAATGCATCCAATCAAGCTTCTTGACAGAGACATAAATTGGTTCTCAATATTAAATGCATTTTTCTGCAACAACATTCTAAAGGAAAGTAACATAATATGGGAAGAAAATACAATAACCCTTTTAAAAGTGAAAAGAACAGATGAGTTGTTTCAGAAGTAGCTCACATTCTGCAATTATGATTGGTTTTAGCATCCCAAGGGTGGAAAGCAGTCTAAAAATTCATGTTCCAGAAAAAGTATTCAATATTCATGTTAAGATGATAATGCTGGAATTTCATTAATGGTATCTCTTATCAGTAGTACTTGCAGCATAGAAGAGCCCTCTTTTCTCCAGAAGTTTTTCTTCCTATTCTAACACACATTAATTATATATTCCATGCTAAATGTTTGATAGATGCCTTACGTACAGGCATATCATACGCAAATG